CTTAATAGCCTGTGTCTTGTCTGTGTAGAGAATTCCTAATCTGTGTATTGTCTGTGTAGAGAATTTTTAATCTGTGTCTTATCGGTGCGGAGATTGCATAGTCTATGTTTTGTCTGTGCGGAGATTTCATAGTCTGTGTCTTGTCTGCTTAGGCTTCTCTGTAGAGCTGGACCGTGTCAGGAATCTGCCAAGCTGGCACACAGAAACCTTCCAGGTGAAGTTTGATCCTCAATCAGCCGGCAGCAGTTTGGGAGCTATAGATGTTCTGATGCCAATTCAGGTGACCTGGAGACACTCTTTGTACATGTGTCATATAGAACTGTCATTTCCATCTTCTTACTGACCCCCAACATGTCTCCTGGCAGGTGTCTGGGGGGCCCAGGTTCCTAGTACGTCTCCAGGCCTCTGTGACAATGCCATCATTGTGTGTGTCAGATGAAAGGGTGGAGTTCAATGCCGTGCAGTGTGGTCAGTGTCAGATCAGGTCTATCCAGCTGCACAACCAGCTCCCTGTTCCTTGTGAATGGACCGCTATCAGCCAGGAGACCAACACCAAGGTAACCAACGCATCCAGAATACATGTAATAATCACAAGAGAGATGTTCAACCTTTTATTCTAACAATCCTATAGATGAAATTGTGTCTCCCTGAAGAGCAACCCCCACCTTATATTTTGGGGTGCTACCAGTAAATGTTCACCATGTATTCTGAGTTTGGGCCGGTCAACTTTGGCCTGGCAACCATCTGCCAAGACAGCCTGACTGCTGCATGATGTAGGAGGCACCTGAGAACAAGCAAAAGCAACTGTTGGTCTTCCAATAAATTAGCCATTCCTGGGTCTGCTATAAGATCCAACCATGGGCTAGTCTGCCAACCTTCACTGAGATGACCATCTCACTAAGCAGGTTTCAGGCAGAGTGTCCCGGCTTTAGAGGGAACCATTTCCAGAGCCTCCCTCCAAAGGTAAGTGTCTATCTTTGGAAGTCACACTGTCTTAGTCTCCCTCTGCCACAAAGGAAGGCTAAAACTAGAATTACAGATGGGGAATCGTTTTAACCTTGTTGTGAAGCCTGATTGGATGCCATTTCAGGGTTAACGACATGCAATAAATCCACTTATTTGGAAATTCTTAACTGGAAGTCATCTGTGTGTAGGATGACATCTTCCCCTTACTGTGCCAACTGCAATTTAGTTATCTTCACTTCTGCTGAAATCTCAGTATTTTACATCCATGTATGTAACTCAAAAGCCTTTTGATGTAAGCCAATTTGTTATCCATATTTAATGGCCCTGTAAGTTGTTCCACAGTCACATGCTGTACACATGTCGCTTCGTGTATTTCAGGTAGATAAGCACATCCCCATGCACCTCCGCAAGAAACTGCGCCAGGAAGTCAAACCCAAAGCGCCCATCTTTGAGGTGATGCCAGCACATGATGTGCTGCTCCCTGGACAAAGGAAGAATATTGAGATTAAGTTTCAACCTCAGGAGGAGGTAAAGTACTGGAGACCCCTGATCACCGTTATGGTGGATGAGAGTGCAGGAGCACAGACTAGCCATTTACCTGTATTATCATGGGTGTCAGGGTATGTGACAATAATGGGGTATGGCAAAACCCAAAGTGTGTGGAGTGAATGGGGGAGTTGTACACCATGATGCCTTCAATTTCTCCAACAAGTCTGTAACAAACACGACTATAAATCTCATGTCTGTGCTAGGCATTAATGTAAGGCAGGGGCGGACTGACCATTTGGAAACTCGGGCACTGCCCGAGGGCCCGGGGTTAGTAGGGGGCCCCATGAGATGCCCTTGGTACCTTTTTCATAGGCTTTTTTGAGTTTGGGCAAGGACACAGGGGCCCCATGATCCCTTATTGCCCGGGGGCCCCATGAGTTGTCAGTCCGCCCCTGATGTAAGGTGACACATTTGATAAAGCACAGTCCAGTTTTTTAAAACAAAAAGCAGATGTATCATAAAACCTCACTAGCTAAGGTCTCTAAAGACTCATAACGAGGCCTATTTTAAATACCCTGCTGTACATAGCCTGGTGAGAGCAGATTAAAGCAATACACATCCTGAGTTTGTTTTTTTTAACTACCAGAACCAAACTTTATAGCTCATAATTATTGCTATATTGGAATTACAGGAGTTACAGGAACATATAGGACGATATCAATCAGGTAGACACCAAACACACCTATTCTACAGGATATGAAACAGTCTAAGTGCTTATTGCTGTTTTTCCTTTTTTTTCCTGACGAGGTAGAAGCTATACAGCCATCGGCTGGTGCTGCAGGTGGCACAGAGCAGTCAGAGAGTCATGATCTTGGTCCAGGGTCATGGTCTGGAACCCCGGCTGGAATTTACCCCCTCTGTGCTGCAGCTGGGCCCTGTCTTACCATTCAGCCATGGGGATGATGTGGAGGTTGTGGTGAAAAATCCCTGTGCATTTTCTGTCGAGTTTTATTCTCTGGAGATGGACAAACAGTACCTGGAAGAGGAGAAGGTACAGGATCTTAACACTGTCCTGTATATCTGTTAATTGGACTTTCCAGGCTTTAATGTATCAATCCTTTTAGATCCTGAGGATGTTAAAGGGTTATGATGCCCAGAACACCCTGTTGCTTCCACCTCGATTGGCTGGAGAGAAATTACCTCTCGAAATTCTGGAATTCTATGAGGAGAAAAGACGACATCTGGAAGATGAGGAGCTTGTGAGGCAGCAAACTGAACATGGTGAGAGGAGGTGATCCTGCCCTTAAAGCCCTCCTGTGGTGTAAAGGCCAGGAGCAATGAGTGTGCTTCAAAAAATAACATAGCTTTGTATAATAGTGAAGCCATGTGATCACCATATGAGCACTAACACTCGACACATTTATTTCTAGAAGCACCTGATGTGCACCTAACACAAAAAAAGTTTGTAAAATGAAAAAATCATTCTTCTCAAATTTATTGTGCATTTAGTGATCCCTACTATCTAATGTTGTTCCCAGTTAATGAGGGGCTATTTGTTGGAAGAGCTTGCCCTGCTGAACTGTTCTGCGTGTGAGATAGGTTGGACAGGAGATGTCTACACAGGTTCTATATCCTCAATAAACCTGTGTGATTTTCACCTCATCCAACAAAAATACCCCGCTTTTGTTTTGGGTGTTTAATTGTCTGTGAGCACCTGAATAGCCACTTTGTGTAGTAATTAGACTCCTTCTCAGCTGTATTGTCATTGCTGTTGTCTCACAGGTGTCGCCTACTCCTGGTGTCAGATGGTTGGTGATGTCACATAGACTGATGTTGATACATTTCTCTACTGCATTCTTTGTTTTTACAATAAAAAAAAAAAATTTTTTTTTCAGGGTTCATGGAAGATACAGAGGACAAGCAGACATCAGACACAGGTGATAAACTGGACCTTCAAGCACCCCAGCGTGTCCCCTCTACCACTAGTTATGGGGAGAGCCGTTCCTCGCATGCTGAAGCTAAAGCTGAGGATGCTGATGAGGATTCTGAGAAGAAGGCTACATCAGGTGAGCAGGGGACAGGGAGGAAGGGGCCTCAGGTGAAAAGGAGACAGGAAGGGCAGGGCCTTAGGTGAGCAGTATCTGTGTAGGTAGGAGTCTCAGGTGAAAAAAAACAGAACAACCCAAAAGATGGGTACAGTGGTTACTGTTGGTGGCAAATATTTTCACCAGCCCCAAAAAAATTTGCCACCAACAGTAACCACTGTACCCATCTTTTGGGCTGTTCTGGTTGTTCAGTTGATTTTGGATATGGTGACAACGCCTAATTTAGGTGGAGGTGTGCTGGTATATCTACATATTTACATATATCAACCTCAAACGTCTAGTTGAGGAGCCTCAGGTGAGCTGAAGCCTCAGGTGAGTAGGGTCTCTGTAGAGCAGGGGTGGTCAACCTTTTGACCTTCCTGGGCCACATTGGAAGAAGAGAAATTGTCCAGGGCCACGCATAAAATAACACATAACAATAAGGATAGCTGATGAGCAATTTCTACTGTGGCTCTCAGGGGGTAGGTGCGTCTGCCAGGTCCAATCACTATAATGACAGTTCGCCGACGGCCGTACCTGTTCGCGGCTCTCCACACAGCCAGTGATTACCTGTGGTGATCACTGCTGGACGCAGAAAATACCCACTGAAAGCCGCAAGAGGAACTGCCTATATAATTGGCACTGGTCCTAATTGCAGGTGTGAATGCAGCCTATGTATGTGTTGTGTGGGGAGGTGAGGGGGTTGGGGGCTGCGGGCTTTGGGGGGGGGGGTGCAATTGAAATCTGAGGGGGCGCAGGTGAGTCTTAGGAGGAAGGGGTCTCAGGTGAGTAGGAACTTGGTAGGGAGGGGCCTCTGCTGAGTTGAGGACATGGAAAAGGTGTATCAGGTTAGTAGGAGCTCAGTATGGAGGGGAATCAGGTGAACTGAAGCTGGAGAGAGAGCGACCTCAAATGGATAGGATCTATAGAGGGGTGAGCTAGGTGTTAGGTGAAAAGGCCTTAGGTGACATGTCACACATGATTATATACTAGTAAATAGTAATGTAGTGTTTTATGGTTTAACAGTGTGTGCCATTGTTTTTGGGTCACACCCTCTTTACCCTGAAGAAGGTGTGAACATAGAACAATGGACTCCATTTTGCTCATCTTTAATAAATCGCTTTTAATTTGACTGACTTGATCAACCATTCAAAAACAGTAGACCTGACCAATTGTATTCTGTTTCAGGTGATACTTTTTCTGGCCCTGATGGAACCAGGAAAGCTGTGGGAGAGTTGGAGCTCAGCCCCGTGTCACAGGCTGTGGCTCGCTATATGGGTATTGACATCAGCAGCGAGGGGCAGGCAGCAAGGAACCGCCGTGGCATTGCCATCATTGTACATGGAGCACCGCTTACTGGTAAGTATCGGGATGACTCCCTGTACAGACTGGGAGATGGATATGAGAGAGGAATGATAAGTGCAGGGTGTAAGAGAGTGTCTGTACCAGGGGCAGACTGACCATTTGGAAACTCAGGCACTGCCCGAGGGCCCGGGGTCAGTAGGGGGCCCCATGAGATGCCCCTGGTACCTTTTTCATAGGCTTTTTTTAGTTTCGGCAAGGACAAAGGGGCCCAATGATCCCCTATTGCCCGGGGGCCCCATGAGTTGTCAGTCCGCCCCTGGTCTGTACTGGTCCTGAACAAAGATTCATCTCTATCATGCCATTGCTACCATGTGTCAGTGTAATAGGGAAGTCTCAGTGCAGAACTGAATGAATGATATAACAGTGGATAGGCCTTGGGAAAGCCCAGAGTGTCAAAACAGAAGAACGTCACCCGCACACAGTAGATCTCCAACATGGGTCCAAAGCTTTATTCAACAATCACCTTGTTACAGCAAGAGCAACGTTTCGGAACCTCGCAGGATCCCTTTATCAGCTCTTGCTGCAACAATGTGATTGCTGAATAAAGCTTTGGACCCACATTGGAGATCCACGGTGTACTGGTGACGTTCTTCTGCTTTGACTATCTTTGGTTCCAGCCAATGGTTGCTACAGCACCTACTTACATACACAGGCATTTTTCCAGGAAAGTGTGCTTTGAGATTGTGCATTTGTAGCCCAGTGTGTCAAATATACCATTGGGATAGTTGGGTTGTCTGTAGCCTTAAAAGGGAAAGTCTGCGGGATCCTCCAAATCACATTGTGTCATTAAGTAATTTTCATATGGCTTTTGATGTTCCATAGAGTTCAGATTGTATTACATAATGTGCAAAACGCTAGGGTTGGGTCCTGAACAGCAGGTATATTTCCCCACTATTTGAGTTGTGGTTTGAAGGGGGATGGTTTAAAGGTATGTTGAGTACTCAGGGGTTCTCACCCATGCAGGGTGAGGGGTTCTGGGGAGAGGATTGGTTTTTCAGTACTCTCTGGATTGCTAAGTCCTTATTCGGATCCTGGAATTGTAGAGGCTCAAAGAGTGTTGGGTGGGTAGAACCTCGAAACCCTGATTACAGGGACTTTGGTCCTGTATATGGGGTTAAGCCAGTTGCCTTAGAGTCCAGAAAAGAAGGAGGAAACAATCGGCACCTAGCTGTGACAAAGTGAGCTGTACATCTGCGTGAGCAGGCTGAACTGAGTTTAGGATTGAGCCAGAGTTGCTGAGCTGTGAAACCTCTTTCTTGGGACCTCTGAAGCCAAGGGGAAACCCCAAAACCCCAGCGTGGGACTGGTATGATGGCGGTGCACCTTTAATTTGTTTTGCAATTTTGAATCAGAGTATGGACTAGTTTGTGTTTTTGGTTTGCTGAAGACAAGCTGTTTTTTGCTGTTTGCCTGTTTGGAATAAAAATGGACTGTTTGGTTTTACCAACATGTTTGGCTAAAGATCTCAGGCTCCACAGGTGACAGTATACGTATAGTTTTTTTAGCCTTCTATATTTTTCTTGTAGTATGTCAGACAATGCATTGAACATCCTTGATGAACAGTTGCTGTGATAAAACCAGTTACGGGAAGGTCCCCTAGAGTGTCTTGTGTAAATTTCTGTTACAGGGAAGTTGTGTCTTAAGGTCTCCATTATCTACCAGCCTTTCCCATTTTTTTCTGTTTTGGTGTGCGGCTATCTTAGGGATGTCATTAGGTAAATCTGTCTGGGACTTAAAGTTTGTTTTCTTGTTATATGCAGGCAAGTCATCCACAGCATTGACGCTGGCTCAGCACTACAGCGTGGCCTGTCTGTCCATCGACTCAGTGGTCCTGGAGGCCATCTCTGATGGGAATAGCCGAGCAGGCCTAAGGGCCCGACAATTGTGTGCCAAGGCAGCCATTGATCAGTTGCTGCGAGAAACCGAGGATGCAGGTAAGTCTGTCACACCTGTCTGGGCTAGTAGCAGCAGCCTCAATTATTAGTATATGGGAAATAAGAAAATGTTAACTGTCACTAATCAGATTCAGACTTTTAGGTCCTAATAGTCAAGAGTAAAAGAACCATTTCTTCAGAATTTCATGTATGACTCATCGCAGATTGTCTCTCAGCCAACCAGGTAGTGGATATTCCCAGCGGGCAGCCGGCACTCAGCATGGAGGCTGTGGCTAAACACACAGCAGAGGGAGGCCAAGGTGTAGAGGTTAGAGTTGCACCACAATCTGTTGTCTCCCGTGGGAATCAGACCAATCTGCAAGCAGGAAAAGGTAAACCAGAGAGTCACCAAACAGCCGGGACAAAGCAGCAACATCCATCTGAGCCACCAATGTCATTGGTAAGTTCCTACCTTACCAGCTTTACTTTACCTTTCATCAAAAGAAATAAGGAGAAAAGATGGTTCTTTTGGTTCTTTTTACTACACTCCTGCCTGTGTTGTTGAAGCTCATTAGACTAGTGCTATGCATGGGTCAGCGTTCTGGTTCAGCAAAGGCCATGTGAACATTTTAAACATCCAATGGGTGGGGCTTTTGCTTACATTACCCAGAAGTTCCCTCTTCTTCTGCAGAGGGTTAATGGCATATATTTCTAGAGGATCATTCTCAGAACAATCTCTTTATTGGTATTATGTACTCCGGTAAAGTCCTTCCTTCCATGAAAAAGATTATCTGTTATACGTGTTTATTGCAGGCTGGGAGCTCACCGCTTCCAGGACCATTGCAAAGACGACTGAGTGTGAGTGCAAGTGTGGCCGGAGAACAAGGACTAATAAGCTGTGTGTTACCCGATGACCTCTTAATGGAGATCCTAAGTGATCGACTCCAGGTATGAGTTCCAAGTGACCAAGTACAGACTGATTAACAATTCACAGGCAAAGACTGACCGCTGGGTAACAGGTGCAAAATGACCGCTGGATGACAGGTACAGGCTGAGTGCTGAGTGAAAGGTGGAAACTAATCGCTGAGTGACAGGTGCAGACTGACCGCTGAGTGACAGGTGCAGACTGTTCGCTGAGTGACAGGTGCAGTCTGATCGCTGAGTGACAGGTGCAGACTGATCGCTGAGTGACAGGTGCAGACTGATTGCTGAGTGACAGGTGCAGACTGATCGCTGAGTGACAGGTGCAGACTGATTGCTGAGTGACAGGTGCAGACTGATTGCTGAGTGACAGGTGCAGACTGATCGCTGAGTGACAGGTGCAGACTGATTGCTGAGTGACAGGTGCAGACTGATCGTTGAGTGACAGGTGCAGACTGATCGCTGAGTGACAGGTGCAGACTGATCGCTGAGTGACAGGTGCAGACTGATTGCTGAGTGACAGGTGCAGACTGATCGTTGAGTGACAGGTGCAGACTGACCACTGAGTGACAGGTGCAGACTGACCGCTGAGTGACAGGTGCAGACTGATCGCTGAGTGACAGCTGCAGACTGATTGCTGAGTGACAGGTGCAGTCTGATCGCTGAGTGACAGGTGCAGACTGATCGCTGAGTGACAGGTGCAGACTGACCGCTGAGTGACAGGTGCAGACTGACCGCTGAGTGACAGGTGCAGACTGATGTCTGAGTGACAGGTGCAGACTGAGGGCTGAGTGACAGGTGCAGACTGAGGGCTGAGTGAAAGATGCAGACTGACCGCTGAGTGATAGGTGCAGACTGACTGCAAAGTGTCAGGTGCAGACTGACCACTGAGTGACAGGTGTAGACTGACGGCTGAATAAAAGGTTCAGACTGACCACTGAGTGACAGGTGCAGACTGACGGCTGAATGAAAGGTTCAGACTGACCGCTGAGTGACAGGTGCAGACTGCTGAGTGCGAGGTGCAGACTGACCTCTGAGTGACAGGTGCAGACTGATTGCTAGGTGAGAGGTTCAGGCTGACTGCTGAGTGACACATGCAGACTTATCATTGAGTGACAGGTGCAGACTGACCAATGAGTGATAGGTACAGACTGACCTCTGAGTGACAGGTGCAGACTGACCTCTGAGTGACAGGTGCAGACTGACCTCTGAGTGACAGGTGCAGACTGACCGCTGAGTGACAGGTGCAGACTGACCAATGAGTGACAGGTGCAGACTGATCTCTGAGTGACAGGTGCAGACTGATTCCTGAGTGACAGGTGCAGACTGATTGCTAGGTGAGAGGTTCAGGCTAACTGCTGAGTGACACATGCAGACTTATCACTGAGTGACAGGTGCAGACTGGCCAATGAGTGACAGGTACAGACTGGCCTCTGAGTGACAGGTACAGACTGACCGCTGAGTGACAGGTGCAGACTGACGGCTGTGTGAAAGGTGCAGACTAACCTCTGAGTGACAGGCGCAAACCGGCCAGGTACAGGTTGAGTGCTTGGTGTCAAGTTTAGACTGACCACTAGGTGACAGGTACAAGCTGACCATTGAGTGAGAGGTGAAAATAGACCACTGGGTGACAGATGAAAACTGATTTCTGATGACAAATAAAAACTGATTGCTGGCTACTGCAGGTATAGACTGCTGGGTGACTGATACAGACTTGCTACTGGAGGACAGAATTTAGACTGACCTCTTTGTTTTGTCCCTGTCCAGTTGAATGACTGTTCCCATGGTGTGGTCTTTGATGGCCTAGATACCTTGTATGCCCATAACACACCTGCAGCTCTGCACATTATACTGAAGGCTTTGAACAATCGCAAGCATATATATCTTATCGATATGAAGCAAGATTACAGCAGAATGAAGGCTCTTGAGAGAGCACAGAGAGAACAAGAAGGTATGAGGCACCCAGATGGAAAGAAGATGCATGATGGCACCATTAGTTGTCTGTCTGCCTGGGGTGCAGCTTAGAATGTGTTTATTCCGGTTGACGCAGCACTGGGAGTCTGTAGAGTGGCCAATCAACAGTTTTTCTTTTTTTTATGTCATTAGTGAAAGTGGGAATCTCTGATTTATTCTTTCTGCCAAGGACACCATCTTCCCTGTGATTTTCCTTGTAATAGAATGTCCTTGTTTTCCTGAGACTGAATTGATGTCTTTGTTGGCTGTTTGTAAATAGAACAGGAAGAGCTGCGGGCTCAGGTCGAGCAGAAAGCCAACATGGAGGACATGGACGAAGAGGAATATGATCGCTTACCAGTGGAAGAGCGAGAGCGCATTGATGGACTGCGTCTGCAAGCTGTGCGTGAACGGAAG